AGATACATGTACAGTTCATAATATACCTCATATATTTTAAGTTTGTAACCTGTCATAGGTTCCGTCAATCGTGAAGAATAAGCCAGATAAAAGGGGGGGGGGGGGAATGAACGAAGCACGCAACGAATGAAGTGCAAAGCCTGGAACTTTTCTCCTCCGCAAGAGCCTGGTGACGAATTGCTTGAAGGGTTGTAATGAACAAGACGAATTCAGTCACATTACTGTCACGTACAAGAGCAGAACTTGTTTTTAAACAATATATTTGAGTCTTATTTAGGCATTATTTAGCTTGGCTACATGTACCTCCACTTTATCGTTTGCCTTTGCGATCAATGAAAATTGAAAGCATACGACAGCCAGCACGCGGCTTGAATGAAAGACACAGGAGTTCCAGTTGACCAACAGACCATTGGATGTAAGCAATAATTATTTATATTCCAGTTTCCTGAAGAAACGCTTTATTGACATGTGAACTGTAAATCATCGGAAGATCGTCTTTGTAGACGAAATTGACATTGTCCAGGTCGTCAGCTCACGGAAAAAGAAATGGTTTTATTCAAATCGTCTTTTGGACTTTTTTTAAACTAATAAAAATATTAACTTATGTACTGTATTCCTCATCCTGTGTATTTTGTGTGGTGTAGAAAAAAACAAGTGGACATTTATTGACAAGAGCAAGTTCACTCGACAGGCGAAAGAAACCCATTCATAATGTTAAATTATTAGAAAATGTTGAAATGAGTGTTGCAAAATATATTTATTGCAATATTCACAAATGTTTTGAAAAATAACAATCAAAGGCACTATGTGCCAACTCGTGAATGGAAAAGTAAAGAAATTAATTAACATAGAAATATGCAGTAGTACCGGGTAAATGTAAGTTGACAGTCTCGTCCTCGATGTTTTTGAGAATCGAGTTTTGACTTTTGAGTCTCGATTTATTCCTCGAAACAGAACAATAAGATTCCGCGCGGCATTCACGCAAACCGGTGTATTTCGTATTCACGTCCAAATCAGTGTTGGTCGGGAGGGAAACTTCGATAATCCCCGGGCGATAATCGCCAACTTTATGGGCCGAATATTTTTAAAAACAAGGTTTACACAGGGTTTAACAAAACCATGGCCTAATACGATTTTAAACTGACTGGCCAACCTAAATGTATATATTTAAGCTCATAACCGTACAGTTAACGTTAACCCTGTTTAGAAGGTGTATATAAACACAGACTAAAAAAACATTTAGCGACTTAGACTGACCTGCTTATAAGTTGATTTAGACCTCATTAAACTAACTTTTAGATGTCGTTTAAATATTCGGCCAATTTGTTCGAACTGGTTTGAGTTTTATTTTAAAGCATGTTGCTGTTCGTGAAATAAAATATTTCAATCATTTCAAAACATTCTGATCTTGTTTGTGTAGTCTGTGCTTCACACGCACAATATAAAATTAATTGTATATGTAAACATTCATTCGTCTTCAGTTCTGTCATACACGAAACTCTTGGAAAGAAAAATACTTCAGTTATCTATGAAGTTGTAATTCTTGGACTAAAATTAGCTACAGTTAAATTATCAAAAATGGGTTTGCTCTCCTATTAAAAAAACATATGAAAATGACAGGTAAATCTTCCCCGTCACGCAAACGCTTCCTCGCACAGTCGTTCCGATAATAATATTTTACAATTATTTCAAACCATTCATGCAACTAAAATAACATACATGCATATGATAACATGATCGCGCTGACTAGCTGAGGTATTTATAAAGACTTAAATAAAAAAAATAACTCAACAAACGATGCGAGTCCATTCGCCAGCGCCAAGGAAATATGGGGGTGAGCCAAAAACACTGTCGAGCATCTAATAGATCCATGAATAGAAAAGATGAACATAGCCACTGAAACCAGTCCTTTGGTGAGTAAATCAAGCCACTTCCAGCTCAAAACAACCGCAACTCGGTGTCCTCGATGAATCTCATTTGAGCCCGCGATAGTCGTTCATTCGTTCAGCGGAGCAAAAGTACAGGGCCTCTGTCGCTCCCGTGGGTGTCCCCCGTGAGTCAAAAAAGGAATCTTGCGTATCGAAGGTCGCGAGATCGAATCCCGGTGGAGGCACGTTTTTTTTTTTTTTTTTTCTTTCCCCCGCAAGTATGAGAAACACAGGTACTAATATCAGTTCGCTTTAAATATATACGCTGGAAAAAAAGCATTGAAGGAGTTATAGTTCAGACGCAAGCAAAAGAAAATATCATAGAATTCCATAGTGGTACAAAAGAAAATATAGAATGATTCAGATAAATTAGATTTTATTCATACACTTGGTATAAAGAAGATACAACATTTAACATACTTAAGTGTTTTCCTAAGTCTTGAAGTCGGCAGCTTGGTTTTTAAAAGTTTCGACAGCTTGAGTCTTCATCAGAGCTTGAATCGATCGAAGACCTTCAAACGTGACTCACTTTTAATATTCTAAATGTCTCCTCTTTGGGCGGTCGAGTATTATTTACGGTTATTTCTTTCAATTTCGAACTCCAAAAGGTGTCTAATTGTAATTGTAGGAGTGAAAATACCGTGTTGAAAAATAGAAGAGATCCGCGCCAGACGCCATTTTGTTTACTGATCATGCATAAATTACCGCACTACGCATACATTATTGTTTACAACTTGTGGCCATCGACCGAGGGAGCGAGTGAAATTTGTCCGCTATACGCTATAACTTCGTTCATGCTAAGCATTCACTCGTTAAAAAAGGATGTTCTGAATGCAATAATTATTTTATGTCTTTTCCATCGATTGTTTATAATTAAAATTACAGCCTCCAAAAATTAATGAGAATTTTTGTGGGAGGGGAGGTCTTAACCCTTTAACTGTTCGCGCAATAAATATCGTGCGCCGGCGAACGATGACTTTACATGCTTCTTACATGAGGAAATAAAGCTTTGCCAGCCAGCCAATAGCCACTTTCGATAGAAAATACACAAAGAAACTATTATATAAGGTTTAACATGATTCGCTATTGGTGACGTGTTGCAAGCGATCGAGGTTTCATGTTCGCGTCATGACGCCATGAAGAGACGCCATTTGCATTCTTGTTGTGAAGACGCGTGTTTTGATTGAGCGACTTTGAGCGCAATTTCCTTGCTTAAATGGCTTCAAACAAAACAAGGATTTATACTTCTGTTGAAAACGTGCTCCAAGATGCTTTAGACAGCCATTTTGTGGTGGACTCGGTCAGAATTCGGAGATTTGTTGTCCTCAGTAGAACTGAGATGATCGATGCAGGATCGATTCAGATCCTGAGGAACTATGGCTCCTTCTTTCGGGCAGATAAACCGGTAAATGTTAAATGCTATTTTTTATGTCTTTGTCTAATCGTTTATCTGTTTTCTAATATAGTTAGAGCTTGCTTATTTAGAAGGATGTTGCTTGTTTTGGACGTGTTGTATGCAAATTGAATTGCGTGACAATATTTCATTGTTTAGCAATGTTCCCGTTCCTTAATTGTTCTGAACTGAATATTTGCGCAGAATGTGAAGAGTTAAAGAGAGTGGCGTACTAAAAGATACTTATTTCTGATATGTAGAGTATTTTTAGCTAAATAAACTACAATTTGATACAAAATTTTTACTTTGTCATCATTGTGTTTGTGTGTTGTGTGACATGAAATGCATCTACACATATGAAGTTCAGCAAGAATCTTGTCAATGTTTGAGCAAATTACCGTTATAAGGTGTGATAATGTTAAGAAATATCATATGAGGTGTGTTTATTATTATTTTGACTCATCTCTGTAATTTCAAATCTGCTGAAAACCATGCCAGTTATCCTACATAAGGTATGAAATAAGGCTGGAAAACGTGACTATTTTCAAGTCACCTGTCAATCAAACAATTCAATGTGCGACACCCAAAGTTGTCTAAACATGATTTCTATATGCTCTAGTTACTTTTCTGGGTTAAAAAACCTTCCCAGCTACAATACTCTTGGCTACAAGAAAGCAAAATGGCAAATTTTGCTTGGTAAAATGTTAATAAAATTCAGACATGTGACGTCACAACTACGTGGGGGGTAACCTGTCAATCAAAAACATGTCATTGTTGAAAAGAAAATTTTATCTTCTTAAAAACCATATATGGTTTTACATACTTCCTGTTCTTCGTTTGTTGTAAAAGCTATTGGTAACTGGGCACCTTGAAAATGCCACAAAAAAAAGAATAGTTAAAGGGTTAAATGGCCTTGGAAATCCGGGTGGGTGTCTAGCGGTTAGCGGCGTCAAAACATCTTGCCATCCCTCAGGTGTGTGTTGATTTTTTATGGAATAACCCAATGTGACTGATTCCCAGCAATTTTTAATCATGTTCTGTTATTTTACATTAAAGCATTAATTTTGAATTGTGAAGGCTGTTGGTTCAGGCAATTTTTAGACATACCTTCTGCCTCTCCAAGTTTATCCTCGATGCTACCTTTCACCTCTCCAAGTTTATCCTCGATGTTACCTTTCACCTCTCCAAGTTTATCCTCGATGTTACCTTTCACCTCTCCAAGTTTATCCTCGATGTTACCTTTCACCTCTCCAAGTTTATCCTCGATGTTACCTTTCACCTCTCCAAGTTTATCCTCGATGTTACCTTTCACCTCTCCAAGTTTATCCTCGATGTTACTTTTCTCTTCTTTCCACTGCTTAAGCAGCTCTTCATGAAAAACAAAAGAGAAGTTCAGTAACGAGGAAAACATGTTAACATTGTTGACTTTGCGCATCACTGTAGTCAATCAATGTAACTTTCTCCAGTTGTTAAGTCAAAGATCAGAAATCATAAGTGCAGTACATGTGTGTACTCAGTTAGGTAAGGTATATTTACGGGACAAGTGGTCTAAACAGCTCGCGGAGGTTATCCCAGGTATTGGCCGTAGTTCATCACAGGTTACTGCACGTACTGAGCACTTTGTCAGACTACCCTATACATTCTTGAGTAGAGAGAAGCACCGTAAAAGTAAAGTGTCTTGCAATGACCACGGTCAGCCAGGGCTCAAACCCAGACCCCTTGTATCCAGAGTCCAACACACTAACCATTAGGCCACAAATGCATATGAATGCAGAGGGGACCAATTTTAAACCTGGCTGTATCTGTGACATTTTCCGTTTTCTTTTTGCTGTTGGCTACCTTTAGGGTGAATTCCTACTGAACATACCTTCTATCTCTTCAAGTTTGTCTTTGACGCTATCTTCATCTTTTTTCCATTGTGTTAGCAGCTCTTTGTAGTGTTCTTCTGTGTCAGGATCCATGCAATCATTCCTGAGGTCATCGATAATGGCTCCGTAACTTGCCCCTCCCAGTCCTACCAGCGCTTTACTGATATCCTGCCAGTAGATGTGAAACGTTGCATCGTCCACAGATGCCTGGCTGGCATGGCCATACACAGTATTTCTGAAATACTTCACCCTGGCTATGTTAGCTTCCTTACTCACGTCTGAAGCAGAAGGTAGACTGTCCCAGCCAGTGAGGGGAGGACTTAAACCACAAATATTCCTCAGCAGCACCATCAATAGCGTGATATCAAAGCCCGCTGATGACACAGTTGACGGGATAGTAGGGTACAACTTTCCCCATTGTGTTGGATTAAGGATTTTCTTCTTCCTAAGGGATTGCAGAGTACCGTGTACTGGGTGACCTGTCAAAACTGTATGTAGTCCTGTCGCAGGTAGTATTTGATCAAAGGTTTCTCGTAGTGCATGGGATCCCACATCCACCAGAAGACGACACAGTCGCGCATAGTTTGTTGTCTCCTTGGTGGATGCAAATGGTGGCGGAGCAGATGCCATGGACTGGTGGTGACCAGATAAACCTATGAAAATATTTAGTTTACCGGTATAGTTTGTTATATTGTTGCAGTCCATGATTTGTACTAAAATGCAAACAGATGAAAATGACGAGCAGATTAAATAGTTAATTCTCTGGAGAAACTTGTGGTTACATTTCTTTGGCTAAGCGATTATACTACAAAAAATTGTTCAATGCCCAGCCAACACTTTGCACTGCAACTAGTCATCAATATACCTTTCTACAAAATGGCCGCCGCAAATTCAAAGGGCCGATTATTTAAACGACGTTTAGACATCGCTTAAGAAAGTCTTGGTCTAAACCGGGTTTAAACCGGGGAACCGGATTATTTAAACGTCCTTTATTTTAAACCTCACCTAAGCGGTGTCTAAACACAGGCTAGCAAACAATAGCAACTTAGACCTCAGGTCATGACTAGGTTTAGACGTAGTTTATTACGCTTTTATTAGTGAAGGTTCGTGTCATGGATGGAAGTTCAAAGCCAGACAGTTACAGGATTAGGCTAACAAGCCGAGTCAGAAGAATCAGACAGTTGAGGGATATATATATAGATTAAATCCTCTAGAAGAATACGACGATGCCAATTTTCCTTAGACTGCAAAACAGTCAAATTTCCGTCGACGGTTTAGGCTCAGGAAAGAAGCACGTTTTAAGAGTGGATATTTTTATCATACTAAGTTTTCAAGAAAAAGTTTACTTCAATAGCATGTCCATAAAATGTTACATAAAATGAAAACTTTTCAACTAGTATCTTCAAAATTATTTCGAAGTCATTAATAAAAATAATCTAGTAGTTCCTTAGCTTGTAGAAAGCAGGTAGTTATTGGCTTACATTATTGACGTTATAATATTGCACTTCAGGATGAATGGTAGCCCATCACGTTTGGCGAAATAGAAGTTTTGAATTATTTTCCAAGCGTTATCATATTAGAGCGATCAGTAGAGCGTAGAGAAATGATTATAGCGTGCAAAACCGACTAAGAAAAAACTCGAATTTTTAAAGCGCGGTTTAAGAAGAAACAATAGCTAGACCTGTTAGACCACGTTTAGACGTGGTCTCCGTGAAATGCGGCTAATCCGCATTCTAATAACGCAATTTAGACTCAGCCTAGCCATGGTCTATGGAAGCCTTGTCTAAACCTCGATTTACTTTTAAACCAGGTCTAACTTAGACTTTGTTTAAATAATTGGCCCAAAGTGATTAAAAATTAAACTGAGCGGAAAATCATTACCAGCATCTGATGACCACCTCTTGTTTGGTAGTCATACAAAGTTTTGTTTACTAACCTAACAAAACTTTGTACGATTACCAAACAAGAGGTGCTGGTATTGATTTTCCGCTCAGCTTAATATGAATTTGCAGTGGCCATTTTGGAGAAAGGTCTATTTATCAACCTGTTTGGAAGCTTAAATATACTAAAATATTGTATCATACATGTATACTTCTTACCTCACATGAAATTTCCTCTTAAAAATCACCAGCCATCAAGATCATATATAGAATCTAGAGTTCAGTTGATTTATTTCTGAAATGAAGAAAAGCAATCACCTAAAGCATAAATATGAAACAATTCAAGAGTGAAATACATTGTATGGATAGGACAGAACAACAGAAAAAAACATGTTTAGGAATTGAAATTTTTTTTTATGAAGGATTGTCATGCAAAAAAATCAAAATGGCCCCGCCATGCTGCAACATTTGCCCAGCATTTATTGCAGGAATGTTAGGACCATTGGAGATTTTGAACCAATGTTCACGTTGGAACATGTTTTATAACAGACTGCAAATCATGATCAGTCCCTTTTGACTTTTCACGAACAAAATAATACAGCGATTAAATTTTAGCCCGTCGACTGAGCGAGTGAAATTTGTCCACCAAATTCTGTAACCTGTTCATTGCTTTTGCATTCACAAGTTAAAAATCAGCGGGAGAAGTGATCATGTGAGGCGAGGACATCCTGAGTGAAGCACGCCCAACACACCAGGTCGTCTTCTCAATATCATAAACCACTATCTGTATACATTTATGGTTACTCAAAATACTGCAAAATGCTAGCAATTGGGCAACCAACAAACATAATAGTGAACATAAAACACCTTGCCAGCCTTGCGGTCGGCCTTCGTGATCACTGAAAGATTAAATACAGACATAGAGTTGAACCCCTATTAAGCGGCCACGCTCCAGTAAATGGCAAGTGGCTGTAGCATAAGGCGTGGTAGAATATCAAAAGATTGGTGACAACGGAATCACATGTAGAAGATAATAAACGTGTGTTTAACAAAATGTTTCTATCAGTCGTCACCTTCCATTTCGGACTCTTATCTGTCATCAGCTTTTTCAAAATATGGCCAAACTATCTGTATTTAATAGGAGTAAAAACAATAACGACTTATCAGGACGACCAGCCGCCTAATAGAGGTGGCCGCTTAATAGGGTTTTTTTACAGTATTATACTAACAACAGTTTTGAGACTTTGATAACTGGCCCCTTAATAGGGGTTGGCCGCTTAATACATGTGTAGGTGGCCACTTAATAGGGGTTCAACTGTATTAATTAAGGTTACTGATAACCTTTTCTGGGTCGAATTTTGCAAAATTGCAAAAACCTACCATAAGATAGACCATTGTGCTAGTTTTCTTCTAAAACAAAAATTATTTCAAAATGTATTTTTGTTGCGGAGTTATAGCAAATTTTGTGTTCGCGTGACTAAAACGTTATTCCCCAAAGCTGTTTTGAGATGTCAACGCTTTGTGATCGCCCGTGCAGTGTGACACGGGAATACATCTGGGAATGCTCAGATTATATAAATAGCATATTCGCAGAGTTCGCATTATCTCAAGTCCATGCGAGAGGAAAATGCACTTAGTCTAGAAAGTCAGCTTTTATACCATGAAACGAGGAGGGGAACATGAAAATTCACCCTGGGTAAACGGTAAGAGAAAGTCTGAGCCTAAGAAAGCCAAGACAGCGTCGCTAGATGATGGATCATCTCCAACAAGGTCAACAAGAGTTTCCACTCCACTTGTACTTTCCTCTCCGGTTGGATTGTTTTTCCTTCTTTGCCTCTTACTTGCTGTAGTTTTGCGCACACCCAACTTCGCTTTTCCCATTATAAATAAATACAGATATAACTTCACTGAGCGAGCGCCGAATACCTTTTCCCGTGAATTCAAGACTGCCGTTTGTCACAAGCCTCTTTAGGGGGCCATATGTTGATTTTCATTGGTCGGCGGCATGACCGCATTCACACCCGCGTTGAGTAAGTGTGAAAAATAATTAATCTTTTCGGCCCGAAAACTCAGGGTTTATTTTTGAGCGGGTAGCCACTCTTCAAGTGAATTAATAGGGTATGTAGATTTGTAGGATTTTAACGAAATTTGGCCAAGATGATCGTCAGATATTGGTGCGAAAAAGAGTGTTGGGCTTTTAAGGAATTCGAAATATTTTTACTTTTACGCCTCTCTGCGTGACACGAATCGAAAAATTTTCCATTGGCCAACTTCAAAGATGTTTTTCTCAGAAACCGATAGGAAAATCAATAAATCCCGACACACTTCTGTAGCCCATCAAGTTGATATAGTGCAGTTTGTTTGGTTGTACGTGCTAACGCGAAGGCGGGTAATTCAGCAAAGCAAACATCGACAGTTTTGAGTTTGAAGGCTCGCGCGCGCTTACCAAAGTGATATTATTTTAAAATGGCAATATATTCGGATTCTACATTCTATTACCTTTACAATGATAAATAGTTTACCGTGGTTTCATCGGAAAAAAAAAACACGTGTACGAAATATTTTACGGAAGGCACCCCTAAAGGTTATCAGTAACCTTAAATCGCTGATTGTGTTTTTTGCGGATTGTGAATCATAACGACAAACAAATCTTAATCAAGGTCGCAGAGAATTTAAAGATTATGAAGAAATCCTTTCTCTGCAGTTTGCGGTTCACTTAACATCGCCGTACATCTGTAAACAATGACCCAATGCGTTGGAAAGCTACATGTATGGAAGCGAAGAGGACTTTACAATAACTTGCGAAAAATTGAAGAAGAACTTTTAAATGACTACAGTTCTAAAGCTTGCAGGGCAGGACTGACAGTTACTGTAAAAAGAAGGCCCAAGCACTTGGAAAAGGCAGTGTGGAAACATCGGCTTCTCCCGAGAATCGTTTTCTTATTCGCCGAATTGTCGAACTTGAATATCAACCGTAAGGATTCTGCTGAAACAGTACAATTTGCATTACATTA